AGACCAAATAAAGAAAGAAAGAAAGAGAGAAAGAAAGAAAGAAGAAAAACAAACAAACAGAAAAGAAAAGAAACAACAACAACAACAAAAATCAGATCCAATAAAATCCGACCAGAAGGACTTCTTATCATTGCTTCTGAAACTCCTTTTGCCGGTTAATTAAAACTTTCCTGGCCCGGGGTTGCCGATCGCCGCAGAAACAATTTACGGTATAACTGGCTGGAGTGGGGGGCGGGAATTGGCGGGAGGAGGCGGACGGAGGCGACGGCATCCGGACTGGGATTGACGGGGGGGGGGATTGGACGGGTAGGGTGGGTGGGGTAGGGTAGGATGGGGTGGGGTGGGATTGACGGGGGGTGGGCGGGGTGGGATTGACGGGGGGGGGGGCGGGTGGGAATTGACGCATCCGGACTGGGATTGACGGGGGGTGGGTGGGTACGGGAGGGGTAGGGTTGGGTAGGGTGGGGGTGGGGTAGGGGGGTGGGATTGACGGGGGGCGGGGTGGGATTGCGGGGGGTGGGGGCAACTGGCTGGCTGGATGGCGAGCGAGGAGGCAGCGACGGCATCCGGACTGGATTGACGGGGGTGGGGGGATTTGACGGGGGGGGGGGCGGAGGGGCAGTGACGGCATCCGGACTGGGATTGACGGGGGGGTAGGATGGGGTGGGGTGGGGGTGGGATTGACGCGGGGGGGGGGGTGGGATTACGGGGGGGGCGGGTGGGATTGACGGGGGGCGGGGTGGATTGACGGGGGTCTGACAGTAGGTGGGGTGGAGGGTGGGGGTGACGGTGGGGTGGTAGGGTGGGTAGGGGGTGGTGGTTAGGGTGGGGGATGGTGGCATTGACGGGGGGGGGATTGACGGGGGGATTGACGGGGGGCGGGGTAGGGTAGGGGTAGGGGTGGGTGGGGGTGTGGAAGAATCTGGAAGAATCTGAGGATTTGAGAAACACACATGCATAGATACTCTGTGGGGTGGGGTAGGGTGGGGTGGGGTGGGGCTGGTGGAGAGTCTGGAAGAATCTGGGATTTGAGATACACACATGTATAGATATTCTGTGTGTGTGTGTGTTTTCTTTCGCGCTCAAAGACTGTATATCTCTCGTATATATACTCTTTCTTTTTTTTTCTTCATCTCCTCTCTCTCTCTCTGTCTCTCTATCTCAACTCTCTCTCTCTTTCTCACACACAGACTCTCTCTCTCTCTCTTTCTCTCTCCCTCCCTCCCTCCCTCTCCGCCCTCTCTCTCCCTCCATCCCTCCTCTCTCTCTTTCTCCCTCTTCTCCTTCCCTCTCTCCTCTCCCTCCTTCCCTCCCTCCCTTCCCTCAACACACACAAATAACCTCTCACCCACTTGCCTTGAGTTCGAACCGCTCAACCCGTCCATTCCCTTCCACGCGCGAGAGGAAAAGGAGACCTCGAACTAAGGTCATTCCATTTTCATAGGCCTTACCCCTTCCCCTTATCCCCCTCCCTCCTCTCCCTCCCCTCCTCTCCCTCCTCTCCCTCTCCTCCTTCCCCCCTCCCTCCCTTCCCTCTCCCTCCCTCCCTTCCCTTCCCTTTTCCTCCCTTCCTCTCCCCTCCCCCTCTCCCTCCTCCTCTCCCTCCCCTCCTCCCCCCTCTCCTCTCCCTCTCCTTCCTCCCCCTCCTCCTTCTGCGTCCGGGTGATTGACAGGCAACTCTCACCGGCTCACTCTAAGAACACGGGCATTTGTTCAGGGGGGGGGGGGGGGGGAGATCTGTTCGAGTACGCTGTTTGTTATTTTCGCTGTTCAGAAAGGGGGTCCTGGACTTTCTTTTGAACATTTCATTTCTGTTTTGTTTTACGTTTTTTTTTTTTTTTTTTTACAAAAGTTGTTATGGTGAGAGAAAGTTTCTCGTCTTTCACTGAAGAATGGGATACGTGCTTAAGGTTAAGTAAGCAATATACATGTATAAGAAAAGAAAAGAAAAAAAAAAAAAAAACATAAAGAAGGCATATAATTAAAAGAAGAAACATGTAAAATTAAGGATAACTAAACAACTTGTATTTGAACAAAAATAAAAATCTTCGTAGTTCTCTCAAAAAACAAACAAATCAAACAAAAAAAAACGAAAATAAAGAAAACAACAAACAAACAAAGAAAACGAAAAGAAAAAAACAAACAAACAAACACAGAAACCAAAGTAAAGAAGAAGAAAAGAAAAATACTTGTACAATTTTTTTTTTTTTTTTAGCTAAATACAGGAAAATAAAACGTGAACAGTAGACCTAAATATAACGTACACGATTTCTGAGAAAGTAAAATCCCATCTTATCTGTTCCTTATAACATAGATGATTTCTAAGAACGTCGAAGCAGGGGTGGCTTAGTATAGATCTACTTACATACTTACTTACTTGCTTACTTACTTACTTACTTACCTTACTTACGTACTTACTTACCTACTTACTTACTTAGTACTTACTTACCTATACCTTACTTACGTACATTACCTACTTACTTACTTACGTACTTACTTA